AATCTTTATCTATAAATGCAACACAGTTGCCCTGCATCTTTGAGGCACCATGATATACATAGTTTAAATCTGATTATATGACCCCAAATACCCCTTCTGTCTGTTCTCACACTTCCCTGCTAGTTTTTTTACCTTTACAATTTTGCAGAAAGGCAAAAAAAGAAAAAGCACTAAAGTGACACCATTTGATTCTTGTCTTTGCTGCTGCTAATTTGAAGGGCTTCTGCTCAGCCTGTCTTCACACTTTCTTGGCATTGCTTGATTTTGTCTGTCAGCCTGATGATGTGATTTGAAGAGGTGCCGCTGTGGACTTTTCCTGGCAGTACATCTTTTACAGTTTCTTTCTTTTCTTTCTTTTTTTTTTTTTTTGAGAAGGATTCTTGCTCTGTCTCCAGGCTGGAGTGCAGTGGTGTGATCTCGGGTCACTGCAACCTATGCCTTGTGGTTTTAAGCGATTCTCCTGCCTCAGCCTCCCGAGTAGCTGGGACGACAAGCACGTGGGCGCCCCCATGCCCAGCTAGTTTTTTTTTGGATTTTAGTAGAGACAGGGTTTCACTATGTTGGCCAGAGTGATCTCGATCTCCTGACCTCGTGTGATTCACCCGCATCAGCCTCCCAAAGTGCTGGGATTACAGGCATGAGCCACTGTGCCTGGCCCTACAATTTCTGTCTCAGGGTGTGAGTCTCTTTTTGACACTGAACACAGCAGTCATTCTAAGAGACCTGACTTGCATCCAAGAGACCATCCTCACTTCTCTAAGACGGTGGCTATCCCTGGAGAGGTTTCTTGCCTTGATGGTTTTTAGGCAAGTCTTCTGTCCTATGGAGTTTCATTGAGACACTGACAGAAGTATTAAAACACAAAAACAACACATTCATTTGAGACTTGCCTGGGCAACATAGGGAGACCGTGTTCTACAACAAATTAAAAAATAAGCTGGGTATGGTGGTGCACACCTGTAGTCCCAGGTACTTGGGGGGCTGAGGTGGGAGGATCATTTGAGCCTGAGAGGTTGAGGCTGCAGTGAGCCATGATTACACCAGCGCACTCATGCACTGGGTGACAGAGCACGACCCTGTCTCAAAAAAAAGGAAAAAGAAGACCAACACATAAAACAAAAAATAACACATTCACCTGCAAAGACGGTGCATTCAAATAATGCTTTTCTTTGGAACCATGGGTGGGCTGTTTCACGTCTCTCTGTGGCGTACTGCTATTAGACACCAACATTATGTCTTTAAAAGATAATGCAGAAGAATCATTGGCAGCATCATCACCTCTAATTATTCTCGCTGGGGTGAAAGCTTTCTTTCACAAAGCTAAAAATAGCATATGTCAAAGAGCAATTTATCTGGCATACAGATACTAAACAATTTTTGAGATATGTTACCTTGTAAATATGAAAGTATTCCTTTGGTATTCTTTATTTTCTTACTATGTATGTCATCATTCTGCTCATTTTATTATTTTTCCAAGATTTTTTTTCTTGGTATTTAAGTAAGTGTATTGTCCCCAAGGCTCCAAGTGTGGAACGTGCCTGCTTAGAGGTTTCCGTGAGAGACAGACATGAATTGCAGCTGGAAGTTAGTCCTTCCTTTTTTCTGGAAGGCAGAAATTCACTTATGTTGTTGAAAGGAAAACCTCACATATTTCTGTTTCAGAGCTGACACTCAAACCTTTTTTGCTAAATGTAAAGTTTATGTGTTAAGATGATGAGGTGTTTGGTAGACTCAATGAAAAGGTCACATGGATTACTTTGTTCTTTTTCTTCAGCTAAAGCCAATTCAAATACTTTCAAATCCACTGTCTACATATAATCAGCAACTATGGCTGACATGTGTTGTTGAGTTGGATCAATCAAAAGGTATGGAGCTTTACATTTTGGGATAATTTGTCTTTGTGTGAAGCATCGTATTTTAGATGTTGACTTCAGAATATTCGGACAAGTGCTCAAAGATAGATGTATAAGGATGTCCATTATTATTTATCATAGCAACAAATTGGAAACCTCTCAAATGTCTTTCAAAGTGGGAGAGAAAGTTACGATAGATCTACGTCCTCAGTAGAGTTCTGGTCAGCTTAGCTCAATGGCTGCATGGTGTCGGCCTGCAGCTGCCAGCCTTTTTCAGTGGGGATCTGGGAGACAATTAAGGTCTGATGCCCTAAAGTAATGGTTCTGGCCCCCAGGGACACTTGGCAATGTCTGGAGACAATTTTGTCACAAATGGAGAGGAGGAGGGACTGCTCCTGGCATCTAGTGGGTAGAGGGCAGAGATGCTGACACCTTCCCCTGCTTCCACAACAAGGAATTATCTGGCCCAAAATGTCAGTGGTGCAGAGGCTGAGAAACCTTCCCCTAATGCATCCGTTGTTTATGATGAATTAGCTTCCGTCAGTCTACAGTGGCACTAGCTTTGTATCATCCTAGGGAGAATTGAGAAGATTCTCCCTCAAGTCATTTTCTGTTAAGTGCTTCAGATGAGACACTGGTTGAGAAAGAATTTGAAAAGATCACCCCATGACCACAGTAAATGAAGTGAAACAAATGCATATTACAAAAAAGTTACTCCCTCTTTGTAACTGTTTAGAAAGCAAAAAATTTATACTACTACGTATTTGTATGTCTAGAAAATAGCTTGGAAGGATAGACACAAAATATGAATTATGATTATCTCTAGGTGGTAAAATTCTTAGTGTTTAATGTCATCTTTATATTTTGTTATGATTTTTTAAAATGAGAGTATAATTAGAAAAACATGTAATAAATAAGAAATCTCTATTTTGGTGTAGAATTTGGTAAATTAAAAATGTATGTGAGAAATTAAGCATATAAGTTTATTAGTCATGAAATATTTTACCGTTTTTTTGTTTGTGAAGTGAAACTGATGGATCTGAAATGCAGGTTTTGATTTAGGCCCTCTGGGTGCTGGGTTGGGATCTAATGGAAAGGCTTTACTTTGCTGGGCAAATAGAAATTTCCAAATGTTCTGAGGCCAGTGTGGCCTATGGACCTATGGACTTTCTGTGTTTTCCTGGCTCCGAGGTAATTTCGGAGCCAGGAAGGCGCCTTTGGAGGTGTGATGTGCCTGGCATGGTCTCTGACACTGAATTTTTTTTCTTTTGTAGAAACTTCCATTAAGACAAGCTTTCCCATGACTGTTAAAGTCGATGGTGTAGCTCAAGATGGAACCACGATGTACATTCATAACAAAGTTCACAACCGGACAAGGACCCTCTCATGTGCAGGGGTGAGTGTGCGGGGTGAGCCCCACAGTCAGTCCTTGGGCTGCGTACATGTTTAATTACAGAGCCACTTTCCCATGTAGCGTGGTAAGAGGCTTTGAGAAAATTGTTCTTAAGTGAAAAAAATGGAGTCATATTAAAGATGGCCTGAGAAACTTACTTAATTTTATGCTTGGATACCCTTAGAAATTCTTATAAACTTACACATGTAGGCACACATCCATAAACACACGTGTATACACACGTACTGCCAGCTACCCTAAGCATATGTGGTACTTGTTTTTACAGTGTGTGTGACCTGCTGCCTGCTGTGTCCCTAATGAACATCATGGGCTGCCATCTTATAGGAAGGTCTGCCACCAGCCATCGTCACTAGCTTTTTTTTTTTTTTTTTGCTTCTTCCTCCCCCACCCACCCTCCTCCTCCTCCTTCTTCCTCTTCCTCTTCCTCTTCTTCTTCTTCTTCCTTTTCTTTTTTTTTTTGAGAGGGCTTTGCTCTGTTACCTAGGCTGGAGTGCAGTGGCACAATCATAGCTCACTGCTGCCTCAAACTTCTGGGCTCAAGCAATCCTCCTACCTTAACTTCCCAAGTAGCTGGGACTGCAAGTGTGTACCACCAGGCCTGACCAATTTTCCATGGTCACTCTTGACTGAGGCTTTGGGTTGTTCCCAGCCATGTGATGCACGCCCTCATCCATCTGCGTGAAACCGCGTACCTGGGCCTCTTGTGGGTCAGGGGCCTGGGGCCTGCCTTTTTGAGCATCTACTTTAGAGCACAGTGTGGCTAAGGGGTAGGAAACCTGGGGTCCAGAGTGGGGAACGAGCCCTCACGCTTGATATCATTGGCACTATATTCTCTTTAGAGCCCAAAGAACCAGAACCAGATCCCTTCTATAGCAAGGAGTCCACCTCGGACACAGCACAGGTTATTGGCAGCGTGGAGAACATGGAGAGCATCAAAACAGGGCAGTACATTTGCTTATAGGATTAGAAAAGTAATGTCAGAAGCCAGGTGGCAAGTAGTTTCTCTGCTAGGTGTCATGCCAAGTACTGTCCACTCATTGTCTCATTCAGTCCTCATGGCAGGTCCATGAAGTAGAAACTGCTATTAGAACCTGTTTTATAGAAGAAACTGAGGCTGAGAGAGGTCTAAACCATTGCCCAAGGTAATGCAGTTTTTAAGTGGAGGGCCCAGGATTTAAGGCTGTCCCCTTTTATTCTGAAGCTTGTGGCCTTAACTACCATGCGTACTGCCTGATTACTAGCGATACATACACTGAACCTGTTTTACCTGGCAAGAAAGGATTAAAGGGCTGGGCGTGGTGGCTCATGCTTGTAATCCCAGCACTTTGGGAGGCTGAGGTGGGAGGATCATGTGGGACTGGCCTCTCATTCTGCCTCCAAGGGTTGAGCCAGCTTCCTAAGTGTATTTTCCCCATCTATAAAGTGGGGATCAAGCTTTCCCTTCCTGCCTTAGGAAAGTAGTAAAGATGCAGGTGATTAACGTTTGAGCGTGCCTTACGTGTGCAGCACAAGGTCCTATCTGACAGTCATACCTGTTGTCCCCCAACTAGGCCTGTGTGCAGAAGGGGTGTGATCAGTCCTGCTGAATCACAGGAGGGACAACAGGTATGAGTGTCAGATGGAACCATGGCCAAGAAGCCGCTCTCTTCCCATCCAAGGGCCTGGTGGCCACTCCCACCTGGACAGCTGATAACACCCACCTTGCTGCCTCTCAGATTGAGGCTCAATGGACCATTAGTCAGGGGTTGCTTATTTGGAGCTGGTGAGACTCATCATCCTGGTTTGCCTGCACTGAGTGGTTTCTCAGCACACAGGACTTTCTGTTGGGACAAGTGGGTTGCCTTACCTAAAGCCTTTGCTTCAAGCGGGGCACCCGCCACCATGCTGGGAGGCCATGGTGCTGGCTGCCTGCACTGTTGCTTCTTGGACCTGGCCACCATGCCATGCACCTTGAGACTGGTGCTTCAGTACATCTCTATGGCTTCTTCCCTCTTCCGTTTTGGCCCTACCTCAGTTTACACTGTGTCACCCCTTGGGTGCTGCTGTTTGCTTCTGTTTCCTGTCTACTCAAGTCTCTCTCTAACCCTGCAAAGAGCACCGCCCTGGCATTTAAAAACATGGAATTTTAAGTTGACATCACAGAGACATTTACTACCCTATTATATTACTTTTTTTTTTTTTTTTTTT